TCTCAGGAAGTACTGTACTTGTTTTATTTATTTTCTGAGCTGCTGTATTTTGAGGGATTTGTTGCTTTTCTGCGGTTAATCTCACTGCAGACTAAACAGATGTCACATTTATTCACGGATATTTTACAAACTGAATTATTAACGGAAGACAATATTTGTTAGTTGCAGCGTCTCTTCTGCAACTTTCTGACTCAAAATGACAATAAAACGTGCAGCTCTGCATCAGATTTGTTCTTCCTGTGCTGTCATCTGAGTTTTTATTAGATTCAGCTCAGTAGTTTTTGCACAGACACCATCTCAGCTCCTGCAAAGGAATAAACATGCACCACATCACTTCAGTTTAATTCTATTTTTTTATTGCATACAAAATAGCATGATATCCTTTTTTTTCCAGACAAACAAATGTTTCCTTTTCCATGTCTCATACGCTGTCCTATAGCTGCATGTGAAAATATATTACTACATAATATAGAGATCAACAAGACAACGGACCACAATATATTATCGCTGTAATACGAGTAGTGTTTGTGTTTTTTTTCTTTCTAACCAAATAAGGCGACACATCTAAATGAATGCATAGTACAAAATACAAGAAGCAATTAAGTACAAAAATATAGCTGGATAAAAAGCTTATTAATACAAGAGTGCTTCGTCTTTGGTTACGTACGTCTGTCTTCAGGCTCTTTGAGTTTGGTTTCACAAGCTGTGGAAATGCTAAACGTCCTTCTGTCATCGAGCTTCACCGTTTCACATGCGTGTCTTCACCCGTGGACGTGACAATACCTTCGCCCGACCCGTTTAGCTCAGTACCCTCGCCACCCGTCGCGCGCGCACCTTTTTAGTTAAAGGTTAAAAAAGAGAAACCCTCACATTCGTGTTTACTTTCGTCGGTTACGTCTCTCGCTCGTTAGAAGTGAGTGGAATAAAAAAAACGTTGATTGTCGATTATGATTATTTAAAAAAGTGTTAAAAAGGTGCTGTTGAAGGCAAGAGTGGCTGCAAATACATACATCAGAACACCTGAACATCTCTACACCGAGTAAATTACACCTTCAGGGCTTTGGTCACGGGTACAAAATATAAACACACACTGTTCTTTTTTTTTTTTTTTTTTAAAGCCAATATCTAAATGTTGAACCTTACAAAACAGTGCAAGGAAAGATCCTCTTTGTAAAGCTGGACATGATAAAAGCATCATTTCACCGGCGGCTGCTGTCGGAAAGCAAGTCCAGCTGTGGCTTCAGAACTCACGCAAGGCACCTTCCCGCTACGTTTTTGAGGGTTTACGGTTCTTCTGTCAAACCGTACACTCCCTTTTCCTGATATCTAGTTATTTCTAGTCTATCTGTGGCTCTTTAAAGTTGAATTTTCTCACAACAAGTTGACATCAAAATGCACCGACTGCAGATGCAACCTGCTTGTTCCTCCATGTCTCAGCATGGATTCACTCTTTCTGCGTTTTTTAAATGAGCTGATGTGAAATAAACTATAAATGAAATAATCCTGGAGCAGGTCCTGATGATGGAATTGGTGATTAATAGGCCTGGTTGTCCTGCCTGTCAGGACAGGGAAAGAAAATCCACACATGTTTATGGATATTCTGAAATTTTGCAAAAAATGTACCAACACTGGGAGCTACCAACTGGGCAGCCGATCCAACTGGGACGAAAACACAAGGTCCCAGTTGAAGATGGCGAATTTCGCTGGGAAATAAAAGTCACTGTGTTTGGAGAATCTGTTAAATCTGTGAGGTTTGAGGTTATCGGCTGGCCCAGTGAACTCTGGGTTTCTCCATCAGTCACTGGTCGATCACATGAAGAGAAGTGGAGGGCAGTCGCAGAAATGCAGTTTGAGTTCTCGAGTGTTTTTCTAACATCCAGGACTAAAGCAGCAACAAGTGTTAAAACAAATCTGTAAATTAATCTGACTCCAATGTCTCTAAATCAGGGGTGTCCAATCCTGGTCCTGGAGGGCCACAATCCTGCATGTTTCAGATGTTTCTGTCTTCCAACACCCCTGATTCAGATGATCAGCTCATCATCAAGAAGCCTGATAACGATCCTGATCATTTGAATCAGGTGTGTTGGAAGAAGGAAACATCTAAAACATGCAGGATTGTGGCCCTCCAGGACCAGGATTGGACAGCCCTGCTCTAAATCAAATACACTTTGTGCTCATGTATGAAGGTTTTGCTTTTGGATGGAATCTTTTGGCTTTTTCCAAAATCAGCACTGAATATGGAAGATAAATCCATTCGCTGGTGCTTCCTTTTCTTACAAAACCTGTACATAGACGTGAACAGTCAAAAGGAAACTAACGCCTGAAGAAAGATCTTCTGAGTTGTGTGTAGAATTTGCTATAGATTCAATGGAATGCAAATATATGCAGCTGCCATTAGTTGGATGTTAATTTGGTGAAACATCCGCCTCTAAAAAGTCCTGTTTTATACCCAAAGTGGGCACACTGCTGGGTAATGTCTTTATCATTTCTCCTAAATCAGGTTTTAATTATGCAAGGTTGTGCTAAGTTAACTTTAGCTTCAGCTACCATGGTGATCTGTTCAAAGTGAGCCGACTTTGTGATGCCGCCAAAAAGCTGACGATGTTGCTTCCAGACAGCAGCCTCCCCCGGATGGTTTGTTTTCTTGGAAAGCCTCCTCATCCTCTGAAGAGTTGTAACACTATACATCATGGCTTGGAAACGAACAAATACAAAAACAACCAGTAGGGATCGTGGACGCCGAACAGTGAGGAAGTCTTTCGCTAACTGATGGACAGAGTTTCCGTCTATCGGCGCTGCGACAGCATGACCTTGTTGATGAAGTTGACGATGGCGGACGCCGGCTGTTCGGGGTCCAACTCGGCGAATAGGTGGCAGACGTTCTCCGCCAAGCTGCCCGGCTTCTTGGCCACGAAGCCAAACACCCTGAGAGAAGACGACAATGAGTTGCTGAGCATCAAGTGCGGTTTGTCTTGTGAGTAAGGCAATGTCTCTGTAGCAGCCTACAGGGTTAAGTACAACGGGAGAATTAGTGTTATGTAACATGGAGTCACGTAGGACCTGACTTCATAATTAAATCATGTTTGCTGGAATGATTCTTTGCCAAGGCTCACACGCAATCTGGTGCCATGCAGAGGCTCTAACATCGCCGGTGGGACTACGCACCGGATCCAAACACTTTCTACCGGCCATCCGAACACAAACAGAGCACTTACTTAACGGTTGTGTTGTCGGGGTTAGTCCACCTACAGCCGAGAGAGAGAGAGAAAGAGAAAAGACAGAAACTGGACTCAGACACACAGGCAGAGCTGCCAAACAAGCCGATGCAGCTGCAGCTTCAGCCACAGCCGACATGCTCGCAAACAACATGACGGGTCGAACGCATTCCCGGGCGACGACTAACGCACTCACAGAACAGACAAGTCATGCGAGGGGCTCACAGCTACGAATGCAGTGAATGATCGAGGATGCGGTGAATGATCGCAGTGTTCAAACTGATTTTTACGTTAGTTAAGACTCAGGCGCTATAGATTCCCACCTCCGGTCCTTTGGGTCGATGCTGCTGAAGGTCACGCTGTTGACCGGGTAATGCCGCCTGAAGAAAACTCTGAAGAAAGAAAGACACACACATAAACAACCACAGTTCAGTCGATTAGAGGAAGTTACTGGAGGTGTTATTTCATCGAGAAAGAAGCCAACACCATGAAGACAAACTGTGTGATCAAAGTTTACATACACTCCAACGACTCCTACAACCCTTAACTTTCTATGGAATCATTAAAACAGATGAATCTTTGTCATGTAGTTTGGTTCTTTCATAGATTTATTACAGGTCTTCTTGAAATATGATACAACCTGTGGGTCAAAAATATCCATACAGCAACTTGAATTTTCAGTTTTAACTTGGACAAGTCAGGAAGTCCTTTGGAGTCATTTCAAAGCAGCTTCAGATCCCAGAACCATCAGTGTGTCAGTATAAAGTTCATGGTCCAGTTGTGTTACTGCCACCATCAGGAAGGAAACACAAACTATCAGCTGCTGCTGAGAGACGATTGGTCAGGATGGTCAAGAGTCAACCAGGAACCAGCAGAGAGCAGCTCTGGATGGACCAGAAGCTGCTGGAACACAGCTGTCAGTGTCCACAGGGTCTGACATCAACATGAGCTGAGAGGCTGATGGAGAAGGAAGTTCTTCCTCTACAAGCAGAACCTTAAAGCTCCACTGAAGTCTGCTGCTGGTCACATGGACAAAGAAAAGGCCTTCTGGAGGAAAGTTCTGGTCAGATGGAACAAACACTGAGAGAAGGTGAGGCCTTTAACCCCAAGAACACCAAACCTACCATCAGGCATGGAGGTGGCAGCATCATGCTCTGGTTCTGTTCTGCTGCCAGTGGACCTGGAGCTTTATACAAGTAAATGGAACAATGAAGAAGGAGGATCACCTCCACGTTGTTCAGGAAAACTTAAAATCACAAGTCAGAATGTTGAAGCTTGGATGCAGTTGGGTGTTTTAACCAAGAGAAGTGGTCAAAGACAAACCAGAAGCTTGTGGCAGCAACCGAAGGCGCGTGTTGAGGTGAAAATGGCCAAAGGACCCAGTAAATTCTGTCATATTTCAGACCTTTAATAAATCTATGAAAGAACCAAAATACATGACAGTTTTTTCTGACTACAAATCATGTGTTTCAATGATTCCATTGAAGAAAAATTAAGAGTTATAGGAGTCATGAGAAGCTCAAGACTGCCATGATACACGTGGTCTTCACAAGTGGATGCCAACTTTAGTTCATGACTGTACATGTGGAGTCTCTTACCTGCGCTGGCTGTCGGTCAGTGTGATTCCCTGCGACGTCACCTTGAACTGGACCACGGTGGCTGCAGGTCGCGGGTTACGACCCAGCGTGGCATCTGTTGCCTTGGCGATGGCCTGAGGGCCGGTCAGAGACTCTGTCTCCACCGAGTTCAGGTAGAGGACGTTACAGGCTGAGGAGGGAAGCAGGACACAGCGAGTAGAATTAGAACAAAACAGTGTGTCTGTGTCGCTGTTCTTCAGAAATCTGTGCATCCAATCTACTTCAAAGTTGGTGAGTTTGTTGATGAGGGTCTGAGGAAGTGCTTCCTCCAGTTTGAAGCAGATCGTATGAATGGTTTTTGGACACTTCAGAATGGCCTTTTGCTGCCTGTGGGTTGCTAGGCCACATCACATCTGTAGCACATCTGTCTGTAAGCATCAGATTTAACCAGTGACGCTGCACTAGTGAGTAGTAATATTAGTAAATGAAGTCATGCAGTGTGTGCTGAGTGGGTATTCTTTATCATTTCACCTTTTTTTATTTAACCCTCTGTTGATTCATTGTATAAAACTGCAGCTATAACCAAAGTGAAATAATAATAATAATAAACCCCATCTATGTTCTGTGCAAAAGTTTCAGACAGAAGTTCTTCTCGGTACACTTCTTTTCACACACTCAGTTCAGTGTTTGGCATACAGGTTGGAGAACAAGCCACAGTTTTATTCTGGATTTGGAAGGTAATGATTTACCTTTATGTTAATTTTGAAGGTCTGACTAAATGCACTGGAACCTGAGAGCATGTTTAAATTTGTTCTCTTGAATTGTGCTGCAGAATGAATTTAAAGCTCCAGGTCCAAACATCTGAAGCGCCTTAAACCTTTTTATTGTACCGTACACACACACAATAATGTAAATCAGGTGAATTTCTGCAGCACAACAGTGTGTTATATGAGGAGAGAGAAGGCAGGATGGTGACTCACCTGCTCCTTGTTTCAGCAGGTCAGCAGCTGTACTGACGTTACTGACTGGTTGGACCTCCTGCTGCACCTCCCCGATCAGATCTGCCAACATGGACACAAACAGTCAGTTCTATCTGACTGAGGTGTAAAATTTAGTAAACCGTCGTTTTAATGTTTGTCCTGTCATGTTTAAAATAGCGCTTCATGCCTTATTTGAGATGTTTCACGTCACCACCTCATGACAGTTATTACAATCTGTAATTTTTGTCTCATTATAGAGAAAACCAGTAACAATGGTACCAGCCTAAAAACCGAACAGTACCAACCTTTTTCTGGGATTTTAAGAGAGCAGGGCAAAGAGATTGGTGTGATGGAGTGTTGGTAGACTAATGCAGACAGACTCCCTGTGGACAGCAGACAATAAAAACAAGTTATCATCCTTAAGGTAACACAGACGGATTTATAAAACTGGTGACAGAAACTCACCAAAGTAGGGCTCATTCTGGCACCCTTTGATCTTGACTCCTCGAGGGCCGGTTTCAATCAGGAAATGTCTCACCAGCTGCTCCAGAGGGTCGCTCGCTGCAAGAGCAAAGATTTACTGTTAAAAAATCATTGCTCACTATGAAAAAAGCAGCTGAGCAGGTAAACACATGTGAAAAAGAGATATCTAGATGATGTAAACAGCTGTTCCTACCCTTGCTGCTGTTGACGTTGGGCGGAGGTGTCGCCACCTTCAGGGCCAGGCCATAGGCTCCCTGGAAGGAGTTACTGTCCCTGATCAGGAAGGTTCCCGGCTCTCTTTCCTTCAGAGCTGCGATTGCTAGAGCCAAGCAAAATTAAATGTTTTATATCTGTTGACTGTAATTCCCAAAAGAAACAATCACAGCAAACATGATGTTTTGTTCAGGTTAGGAAAAAGAGCTCACCTTGTTCCCTGGATATACCAGGCTTGTACCAGAACCTTGAACTGTCCTGGACAAACTTCACACTGACCCTGTGTTCAGGGTCTAAAGATGGATCACTTTGGCCTGCAGAGGGCGCAATTTCCCCCACAGTGGGAGAGAATGTGACGTGGTGCTGATGCTGGTTGGTGCCGGTGGTGGAGGGAGGTACGTGGCCCACGGCTGGCCTTGATCCATCGCCGGGTGAGCCTGTTGGTGTTGGTAGGTGGCGCTTCTCCGGCAGGGGGGGCTGAGGGTGAGGAAGGGGGATGGAGATGGTGGAGTAGTTGGAGTAGGAGGGCGGGTGGATCTGGGGGCCGTGAACGGGGTACCTCTTGTTAGCATCCATGGCAGCACTGTGCTCCATGGCTGGGTAGTGGTGATGTGGGGGTCCCTGGTGGTGGGGTTCTGACCCGCTCAGCATCAACCTCCTTCCCAGGGTGGCGAAGCCTGGAACTGGGGTGTCGGAGACTGGGGAACCCTCCATGCTGCTGGATGCAGGCGGTGAGGATGATGACGGAGGAGGAGATGCTGGGTGGGAGGTGGTAGATTTGGGGGCTTCTGGGTGGGGTTCCCTAGTTGGAGAAGATCCACTGACCTGTGCTGGTCCTGCTGAGCCGGTTGTTTGGGTCGGACTGCGAGGCTGGGACTGTGGGACGGCAGCCGCTTCTGAAGGACTGATGGTCTGGAGGTTGAGGGGTCCGGGTTTTGGGAGCGTGTCTGGGGCAGATGAAGCGTGGATGGGGGAGGAAGGAGCCTGGCAGTATCTCTGGTTCGATGGTGTCACAGAGTCTACAGAGGGGCTACAGTCCTGCTGCTGGGGGGCGCTGGGGTCCGTCGGTGCAGGATTGTGGTTGGGCGGTTGTGTTTGTAGAGACGTGGCTGTGTGCGCTTCTTTGGCGACCGGCTGCAGCGACGACTCTGTGCTGCTTCTTTGGCTTTCGGAGGATTCCTGGACGACGGTATTTGGGCGATAGTGTCCGTCCTGGGGCTGCGGGGCCTCGTAGTCGCTGATGATGTCTGTAGTTCGGATATCATATTCTCTTCCTCCTGGACTGGGGCTAAAATACACAGAGATCAGTATTAGCACACCTGAGGGCTGTACAACCAAGCATTGACATTGACACAGTTTTCAGCATTTTGGCACTGTGTATCACCACAATGGATTTTTAATGAAACAATCAAGATGTGCTCCAAATACAGACTTTCAGGTTTGACTTGAGGGTATCTACATCCAGATCAGGTGAATGGTGTAGGAATAACAACACAAACAAGCTGGTTAACACAAAGGAAGCCCAACTATGTCAAACCTGCTTCGTGGTGCAGCCCTCAGCTCATAAAATGTTTTCTAAAATTACTACTCTGATCCTTTTCCTTCACTTTACTGTAACATGCAGTCTCTTGGGACAGAAATCAAACCAGCATCTTTAAAGATCTTTATGGCGTTGAATCAAAGCTCCTCCCAAAGAAAACTATGACACTTATTGCTTCCCTTGACGTGGGAAGCCCCATGTTTGTTTACCAGTCAAGCTGTGCCTTCCAGCTAATATACGTGCAAAGAGCCAGCCACAGTGTGGGCAGAATGGAACAAAATGGCCATTAATACCACGTATGAAAGCCAGGGCTCTTGGATCAGATGTTATTATCCAGATAATGTATCCAGATGCAGCTCGCATGTTAACAGCAGGTGTAAATGGATCCCAAGCCACCACAAAGGCCTGTTATGTTTATATTTCAGAAGCAGAGTTTTACTACCCCTCTCAGAGTAAAAGTGGAATACCTCTCCTGTGTCCGTAGTGGGCTGCTGGTGTGGACGGGAGTGGGTGGGCCGGACATGTCGGACGGCGTGGAACAGGCAGCGTGACCGTCTCTGTGGACCCTCTTGAAGGAGCCGTGGGTAATGTGATCCCTCCACCCAACGCTCTCTCCAGAGCTGCGAAGGCCATCTGAGAAACGAGGGGGAACAATGGACTGCATTGACAAAAACGCAACCTCAGTAAACAATCAGCTGGAGTCATATGTCCCCAGCTGATACTTACGTAAGCGGTCTGTAAAAAAAAAAACCCAGAAGAGGCATTTTGTGAGTAATGTGTGAGGAATCTGTCTTGTTAAGGACATGTTTTCAGTGCACGCTGTTCCTCATTATGAAGAACTTATTCCCTCCATATTCCTGCTAAAAGGAACCACATTGCAGCGTGTTTTGACTCACCAGTGTGTGAGTCAGAGCTGTATGACTGCTGTGATTCTGGATGGTGGTGATGATGATGGTTGTGTTCTGGCGGCCCGTTGCTGTGGCTGCAGGGCCCCGTCATGGAGGAAGCAGGAGGCAGCGGTGACGTGGACTCGGACTGGTACCCCGAGGCGTATCCCCTGCTTTCAGACGGCGAGGGCTGGTAAGGCGAGCAGGGGCAAACCTGACGCGGCGTTTGGTAGCCGCTACTGCTGCTGCTGTACTTCAGATCCAGGTGGGAATGAGCGTGAGATCTGGACGCCTCCGGATAAGCCGGGTGACCTGATGGCAAAGGGTCGAAGGTGAAGGCCGGGAGGTCGTGACCTTGTGGACCGTAAGAGGCGACGGTGGCTCTCCGGTGCCAGTATTCGGCCTCTCGGTCCCTCTCCCACTGCAGCTCCGCCTCCCTGTCTCGCTCCCAGTGGAGGGACAATTCCCGGCCTCGTCTCAGCCCAGGATCCCTCTCCCACTGCAGCTCCGACCCCCTGGGAACCTCTGCCTCCCTGGGTCTCCTGAGCCCCACCTCCCTTTGCTGAAGCTCCGCCTCCCGGTCCCAGTGGAAGCTGTCGTTGCGGTCCAACCTCATGCTGTGATAGGCCGCCGAGTCCTCCCTCCTGATGCTGCAGTCCCTGCAGGGGCAGCCGGCGGGCGGCAGACCATCCATCAGCATTATGTCGTGGTAGGTCGGGCTGGTGGAGGGCTTCGGGTGGTGGGGATGGTGGTGGCCATGAGGTGGGAGTGGGTGGTGGTAAGGGGCGTAGTCGTCCTCTCGACAGCAGAGGCGACCCGGAGCAGACAGGGGGTGGTGGTGGGAGTGGTTGTGGGGGTGAGGGGTGAGGTCTGGCGTTGGGTACGGGCAGATGTGTCGAGATGACGGCGCTTCTGAGCAGGACCGGTGCAGGTAGTGCGGTGGTCCACTCTGGCGGTCCCACACCAGGTCTGGAGGCGGCAGCGACTGGTGGGAGTGGGTGTAGTGCTGGCACAGATCCATGTGTGAAGGTGGAGCGCCTGGGTTGGGGGTAGCAGAAGGTGTCGCCCCGTGGTGCCCGTTTGTGCCGGGAGCTCGATCGAGACAGTAACCGTTGGGCATGAGGAGGGTTCGGTCGCAGCCCGGCTCGGCACAGCGCTGGGACCGGTAACCGTCCCGGCAGGAGCACGACCGGTTCAGCCTCAGCGTCCCGGTTCTCTCCGAGGGTAAAGAATCTCCGTCGTCCAAGATGGCAGTCTCTCGCTCTCCATCCCTGTTGCCCTCGATGCCGCCGAGAAGACGCTCGAGCTCCTCCCGTTCCTGCCTGGTCGGAGGCGGTGGGCGGACGGGCTCCTCCTGGCGGTCCGGATGGATGGACGGCTGGTTCAGGTGGAGGGAGTGGGCTGAGAGGGCGGAGTCAGAACCTTGAGGGTAAAGATGGTCGGGCCGGTCTTCTGAAAGGCCGACTCCTGGGCTGCTGCCGTTGGTGGAGGTGAGAGAACCAGAGCCGGGCCCACGACGCTTCTTTATCTGAGCGTAGAGGCTGCCGTCGAGAGGACCTCTGGTGTGGGCGATATCTGAAACAACAGGACCAAGATGAGCTCGGAAACGGCACCACTGAGAGTTAAACTTGCCAGTTTAAGCGAAACCATCCTCCACTGAGATGAGACAAAAGGACAACAGTTACCCTCCAGACTGTCCTGGTATCGCTGGTTGAAGTTCTCGTAGGAATCCCAGCGAACCACTGGATCTGCAGTGTTGTAGTCGACTGTAACAGCTGGATCGTTCTTCTGGTATTCACGGCCTGACAAAAGACATTTCATTACCGAGAGCACTTCTGATTTTTGAACAAATGCGTACATCAGTTTGTCAAGTTTTCACAGCAGGACAGACGTGAAGAAGAACTGGCAGTAAAGTGAACCGACCTTTGATTTTCTCTGGTCCAGACGAGAAGACGAACTCCACTGTGGCATCAGATGGAAAACGCTCATCTGAGAATGGAAAAGAAAAACGCTCGATGAATCCACAGGATGTTGACAAAGATCATGACAACAGG